TTGCCCCCCCCCCCCCCCCCAAAGTAAACAATATGTACAAAAAGACAGGTGGACTTGAGTTACTGTTGTTTTTTTTGTTTTTTTTTTGGAAAGTGCACAAAGAACAGACGGGATCTGTACACGGTCTCAAACAACTCAAAATGATCTGCAGATAGGTAGGACAGATTTAAGTGAAGTGGGCAAAAGGCTACGATTACACACACACACACACACACAAACAGATACGTCTACACCATAGGGGCAGTCAATACATTCTGTACAGTGATTAATCATTCTATACACCATCTGCAGACAAACTCACCTCAACTAGTCCCAAGAGATTCACTGCAGCTTTCCAAGCATTTTACAGAAACAGTCCCACCTGTAAGTAGCTGCTTGGAAAGCCCATGACAAGCATAATAAGGTTGTAAAAAAGCAGACAATGGGCATCTTCCAAGACAGAGGGAAGAAGAAGTACCATGTTTGGGCGACTGGAGGTGTTTAAATAAAATTTTTCGCTCACACCCAGGCCCTCTGCCTATCCTTCCCTCCTGCCGTCGCACTTGGCCAGTCAGATTTTTCATCTTTGCTGCCCGGTGCTGGCGGTCAGATGAAGGGTGCGCCGAAGCATTTAACGCACCACTGGACGCTGGGGATGGGCGGTCGATCAATGCGGTGCAAAGACTTGAGCTGCTCTGCGCTCAGTTCGTCGTAAGCCAGGCGGTACTCCCTGTCGAAGGCCTCTGCAGATACACAGCGAGGGGTCATCAATGTTACGTGATACACTTTGGGAACATTTCAGTTTTTCTCACAGCCTTGAGACTAAAATATATAAGTTGTGGAAGTGTGATGTAACTGGTTGATTTCACTTTCACACATTCACTCACCTACGTCGATGTTCTCCCTCCCCAAGGCCACCAGTGAGAGGAACAATATTTCTCTGTAGATGCTCCTGACAGAAATATAGGGAATGACACATAATAGGCGTTTTCATTAACGTTACAAGAAAACTTGAACCAATAAAAAAAGGTAAATACTGCTTCAAGAAGGACTAAATCAAACATATTTCTGAGAAGGCTTACCTCTGCCGTTTGACACCTTCTGGGCGCCGTTTGATCTCTCGAATCAACAGGTTGATCGGCCCATAAACGTCGTTGGTCTGGATGTTGCGAACAATCGTGTTGAGGAGGGTACGAATCTCCTGGTGGTCTGTGGGAGCCAACGTCCCCTTCTTCTCCACTAAAAAAAAACCATCAGAAAGATTTATTCTACCCTTTTTAGTACAGAGGCTTAAGTCTGACCTCTTCTGGCCAACAGTGACACTGTATCCAAGGAGGTAAAATAACTACATTATGACATTTCAATTTCAGCTAAAGTTAAATCCATAACAGCAGCATACAATGCGTGAAACATTCATATTTACCTCAATATGGAACTAATACATCGGCACACTCAAAGACTCGATACATAAATAGAAAGCAGACATAAATCTGACAAATGCCAACTAAGTTTTTTACCCTTGGTTAACAAAAACCAACAAACTACCAGTAGCATTTGAAAATTCTTGACTTTGTCTCCCTCTAGTGTATTTTCTGATGGCTCAGAAAATCACATAAAATTACTTCACATAGTGACATTAAGTGTGTGCTATTTGTATAGTGTTTAAGGATGTCAGCCACTACAATAATGGCTAATACAGCAGGGTGGACACTGCAGCCTGATGTGTGTCTGTGTAAACACTCACACAAAGTCCTCCAGAGCTGGTAGAGGGGATCTCCATGTTCCTGGTGCAGGTTTATATTGTCCCAGAGGAGCTGGACGTATACCTGCTTACTGTCCTGGGACAGTGACGTCAGGGGCAGCTGCAAAGAGAAATGGGACATGGTGAAGGAAAGCCATAACAAAAAAGACAGAAAGAGTAAGGATATATGACATGTTCCTAACCTGTACTCCTTTGTTGCAGTGTTCAGAGGTAAGGATGAGACCAGGGAGGTGAGTGGGCAGGTCCAGGCGACGGAAATACCACACCAGGTTCCAGAAGATGATGGGGTGCTGGCTGAGGAACTTGTGGGTGTAGATCACCTGGTTGGACATGACAGAGAAGTTGGACAAACCTCTCAGGATCTTGTGTCACGTGTTGTAGCTGTGTAGCTTTTCTGTAAAGCATTATGCGAGTATTTTACCTGATCTCCCTCGTTCTCCAACAGCGTCTCCAGCTCCTTGCGCAGCACCAATGGGCTGAGGTACGGTACGGACACTGGTTTGGGGTTTGGCCGTTTAGTCCCCATACCATCCTAACAAACACACACAATCATTTTCAATGCACAGCAGCTACAGTGGTTTCTTCTATATTTAAGCACAATGGGGTTTGTGACGGTAAGGTGCACTGACCGACACCTCTTGTAGGCTGCAGGGCAGGCTGGTGGTGGAGACGCCATGTCCAGGTCTCTGGGAGTAGTCCAGGCTCTGCAGCGGGCCACCGACACTGTTGCTGCGTGTCAGTGACGTCCCACTGCATCTCTGCTGCTTCCCCGCTGCCTGTGGCTCCAGGAGGCCCAGGGGGTCTGACTGCACCGGCTCGGGAATCAGACTAGAACACACAAGAGGCAAAGGACTCAAGATAAGATGGTGCTACAAGAAGCTAGGCAAGTATTTATCTTCTTGGACTTGGACTACAAACTGTAACTCTGGGAGCTTTAGGCGTTTGAACTCATTTGGCATACCTGTTTTGTGTTCCAGGCTGATCATCTGGAGTCTCCCTAGATTCCTCTTCAGGGAAAGAGATAAGATCTGGTGCCTTAATGTCAGCTGAGCCGCTGGTTGTGGGCTGGGCACTGGTGCTGTGGATACTGTCTCCTGAGGCACTGGGATTCATATAGAACCTGAAAGGGAAAGTCACACAATAGTGTGGGTGTGGGAGGGTGGAGGTCAAGGATTTGAAGCAATTTTTTTTCTCATGTTTTAGATGTTGGATCTTTTTTGATTGTTTTGAACTTTTGACCCTTTTTTAGATTTAGCATTTTTGCGCCAAACCAATAGGAACAAGACTTCATTGGACCATGAACTTGCCTCTTAAGCAGTACCCAGATTGATGTATTTCGGGTAAGATGTTTTGTTTTTGACATGTTTTCATTCTGTCAATTCCAAACCATTTTCAAACCATTACCAGGCCTAGAAAATAGTTTTCCTAATTTCTAATTTTATGACTGCATTACTGTTATTATTAGACATGCTTAATTCTAAGGCAACAGAAGCCTACCCGCTCGTTGTGCGCAAGTCATGAAACTCAACGTGCAATAAGGGAAGAAAGGCTGTGCGACAGAAGGGACAGTTGGTGTTCAGGTTGGAGTCATCAGCTGTCCAGCCCGCCATTATCTCCTCATCGTACACCAGGGCTTCACAAGAGCGGCACTGGGAGCAACTGGACATCAGGACCTGGCAGCAGGGAAGTATGTGCAGTCAGTTAGGTGTTATTCCAATGTACATGTTGGCAGTGAAAACAGAGCAGCAGCGAAGGAGGTGTTTATGTGTGTACAGTATGCCTGACCTCCAGTGCAAAGTTCTGGTAAATGCTCGAGGACGAGGCGTGAAGTGAGGAGCCCTGCTCGGAGTCTGGACCCCTGCCCGCTCGTCCTGGAGTTGGATCTGCAGATGGAGACAAAAATAAACTTTGACATCTCATTTTACGGGCCAATTAACCCCATTAGGCCCTTCTCTTTCACTTCCCTTACATATTTGCACTACAGAATGCTTACGTGTCTGGTGGGTCCCTCGGCCTGTGTCGCTGCTGCCACTGCTGCTGCCCAGACTTGTGCAGCTCTGGTTGAGACCATTGGCCACCAGCCCTGGGATTGGTCCTCTCTCAGGACTTTCATCTCCTTCATGTGCAGCCAGCATGTGTTCATCCAGATGTGACGGGAAGCCGCCACCACCCTGAGCTTGTTCATCCTGAAAAGTTAGATGATATTTAAAGGATTGCTCCCAATAATTTAGAAAAAATATGTTTAAAACCTCAGGAATTATTCTTTAATGACACTTGCCTCGTCATCTGAGTAGGAGTAAGCTGAAGCAACTGCCCCCCATACTTTGCTGGCCACATTTGCTGCCTGTTTCATGCTTGACTTAAGCACATCAATCTTAGGTCCTGACAAGAGGGTGTCCATCTTGATGCCTGAAATGGAGTTGATGACTGAACCCAACGACCCTCCCTGAGAGGACTTGACCAGCGCACTCAGTGAGGCCGATCTACCCGTGGTGGTGGCAGGGGTCTTTGTCTTTACTGCAAAAGTCTTGGAGCGAGTGACGGTGGATGGGCTGCGTTTGGGTGTATCGCCTGGGGAGCCAGTTGGAGGTTTGACAGGAGGCACTGGGAGGCTGGACCTGCGCTCCAGAGATGGTTTGAGCTGTGGGGCGTCAGTGGAATCTCCCTGCGCCTGCTGGAGCTCCATGCTGGAGGACTTCACACCCAGGGGGCTCCTCAGGCTCATGTACATTTCGATCTCCTCGGCCAGGTTGCGGGACACCACAGCAGGCACGGCGCGTGGTGGCTCCTGGCTGGTGACAGAGGCTGACTCTTCTGTCTCTGACACCAGGAGGGAAAGCGGGTCAGCTCCCGCCTCCACATCCGCCCTCTCCAGGGTCGGACCTCGCAGCCCAGCGTCCTCCTCATGTGTTTCAGTGTACTTCCTCTCTCGTTTCTCCATTTTTATCTCAGACCCCTCTACCTTGGTATCATCTCCCTTCTCTTCTTCTGGTTCTGCTGGCCCCTCTTCCTCTGGCAACTTTCCCAGAATCAACCCTCGATCATCTTCAGGCTCTTCCTCCAGGTCTGTAAAAAGTGCTTTGGAAGCAGGCGGTGGACTTTGGGCTCCACAGAGCGCTGCAGCCAAGATACGGGCATCGGCCCCCATCTGACTGGCCATGTGGTCCACGCCTTTCTCTAGGAGCATCCCAGCACGGGTTTCAGCGCTGAAGCTACAGCTGCGTTCAGTAAAGGATTTCTGTCGCTGCTGTTGGGTCTGGTTAGCTACATCCCCTGATGCCAGCGAGGTATCATCATCAGGGAGAGACACATTATCAGTCTTGCTGTGTCTCCTGAACAGTTTCCCTGTACCTGCAGAATATGTACAGATATAATGAGATTGGTCCTTTCTTATTTGGGGCTACAACAATTAAACCGATGGTTAAATAGCCTAACTTAAATGGAAAATAAAATAATTTATTATGAAAATTCACTGAAGAGAAAAAATTGCCATCCCAACTTCAAATTTTTTTGTTAAACTTAAGGGCCCCCTCACCTGTTTCCCTGCCACCGTCAAAGCTGCCTGAGGACAACTTCACAATACTGGGGACGGGCGAGGGCACATCAGCAGGACTGGGGGGTTCTGCTACTGCTACAGCACTGTCTACCGAGCTGGCAATGTCACCACCTGTTTGTAGTACAGAGCAAACAGACCAGCATCAGTGCAGAAGGAGGAAATATGGTTTCTGTTGCGCGCGCACACACACACACACACTATTTGCCACATGCAGCATATATAATGGAAGTAGCTTTGCTTACCGTTATGCTGTGCTTTGGAATTGTTCCTCTCTTCAGTGGAAAGGGCAGCTGTATGTAAAGGCTCTGACAGCTCCCGGTGTAACTCATCCTTGGAGCCGTAGCCTTGATCAGACTGCCTCCCTGTGGATCATAAAAATCACACAAACCACGCTGTACTCAAGAATATAACGAGGATATGATTAACGGAAACATGCTTTGCTTCATTTCTTTTTACAACTCTTCTTCAATGGTTTTGTCAAAATGTTCATTTAGATATTGTAATATTATACTCACATACTTCACTGCTAAGACATGGGGATGCCGGGACTTTGCATTCTCAGCTTTCAAAGCTTTACAAATGAAAACCTAGTAACTTTGGGGGATCAGTACCTGTACTACAGTGGTTGTCTGTTGTGCCTTCCATGCTGTGGCTGTGGGGAAACAGGTTGTGTTCCTCACCATTGACCTCACTTGAGCTGTCAGCACTTCCGTGACTCAAGCGGTCAGCGTCAGTGACTGCTGACCCGCCTATCGATGCAGCTACAGACGGAAAAACATGAGAGACGTGAGAAACAAGGGATCAGAATGAGAGGAAACAGATAGTGAAAAGTGTTTTCCATCCCTGCCATGCTGTATATTCCATTCCCACCTGTGGTACTAAGTGTAGGTCCCTTCTTGGAGGATGTTCGGTCTAGAGCTTGCTTGAATTGAGCCACTCCACGAAGCACATTCCGAACTTTGGTCCACATGAACTGGCCGCTGCGGTTTCTGCTCGGCCACGGGCTCTCTAAGACGGCCTGCAGAGGGAACAGACAGGAAGATGAGGACATGGGTAGGCAGAGACATGTTTTAGATATCTTTTAGCAATGTAAAAGGATATATGTGACCTTGTTGTAGTATCCATATGTGATGGCGTTTGGATGCACTCCAGCTTTTTTCATTTCAACCAGGACTCGCACAGCCATAACCGGAAGGCCCCACAAACCACAGAGCTGCATCACCACTCTGTAACACACCTGAAAGCCAGAGAGATAAAAACATGAATTAGAAGTCTAGCCATGCAGAAAGATGAAAACCTTTAGTGAAAGCACAGAAATATATCACTAAAAACTCTCTTAATACATAATGAGACTGTACCTCATCCAGCACCTCCACCTCAGTTGTCCTCATCTTCAGGAGGACATTGTAAGCCTGCTGCATGGCACGGCTTTTAGACTTCGATAGGCGCACGGCTGCTGGCAGGCAGATGAACCACAGGCTGTAGCAGTGGCTGAACAGACATCGGGCCCACAGCGGAGGGTTGGAATAGAAGCGCTTAGCCATCTTGTATGCTAACTTGATCTCCTGTTGAACAGGGACGTTTAAAGCGTTTTTTTTTTTTTACATGAATGATGAGGACAGAGGATAAGGTGTGTTCTAGTAACAGAGTGCGTCTTTGAGAGTATGTACAAACCTGCTTCGTCCTCTTGGCCAGTAGTGCAGGGCTGCTGGACAGACTGGCCCCTGCTGCTCTGCTGCTAATTGCTGGCCGTAACTCCCTAGGACGGTCAAAAAGCTCCATATGCAGCCATGGGAAACTCTTATAGCTGGAGAACGAGAAATGGGATTGTTGCAATGTCAGCCAATCTTTCCCTACCTAATGAAGTTTTAATAAAGTACAGTTAAAAGACTTACGTGTATCTGGGGGCAGGTTCAGGCCCATCGTCAACTGGTGGTTCAGGGGGCATGACAAAAACAGTGTGCTCACTCTTCTGGGACTCGTCCAGCTCCAACAATCTTGTGTCCTCCGATGATTCTCCTTCAACCTGCATTGAGGATCACATCTATGGTCTTAGTGATACTGACAACTATAATCTGAGTTTGACAAAAAGCACACACTGCAGGCCGTTTCCTGTCTGATGGCAGAAGGTAAACAACTCCAAGCTTATTACAATCTATTCCAATTAGGCAGTAAAACAGGCTTATTTGATTGTAGTTAATCAAGGATAGAAGAAAAGCAGGAAGTGCTCAGGCCCCTTGGTGAAAATATTTATCAAAAGGAAGAAAAAGGTTAATTTATTTACCTTTCAATGTTAGTCACAAGCTTAAAAAAGAAGGTGTGGTGAAATCTGATTAGAAAGTGATTACCTTGGTGCCCTTGTCGGTGATTTTATCAGAGGGAAAAAGCTGTAAGAAGAGGAAAGAGAGCAAAGGGAACAGAATGAATCAGAGGAAATTTAGGCTTCCTTACTTTCCCAGCGGACAAATGTTATTTTGCCAATGAAACAACATAAAACAAAGGCTTGTACATGGAAGGAAACCTCAGGTGGAAGAGGAAAAACAAAACACCAGTGTGCAGCGTGTACATATCCGAGACCAGCCTGACGCCTGGCCGGTAATCACCTTCTCAACACAGTCATCAAAAAAGGCCAGGCCAGTGTCCTTATCACTGACAAAGGTGCACTCCTCAATAAAGCGGATGAATATCTGGGTCTTGGTGAGCTGGGAGTAGAACTTCTGATGGGCGCGGTCTCTGCTTTTGAGAAAGCCTGCAGGAAGGCAAGGAGAGATTGTGGCATCACTTCTCACATTCCCACAGTCATTCACTTCAAGGAGAAATCAATCAGATTTATCCCTCTTTAAAAACAAATGTGCAGCAGTTTGGACACAGGTGTTACCATATATACCGTATAAACTGATCTGCAACAGTGAAGCTAAATGGAGGTGAGAACCAATTTCCCAGCAACAGGCATTAGAGTGAAGTTTTTATATAGCTGATGATAAAGGTTATTGATTTCTAAAAACACTTAGGTTGAGTGAAGGTTTAGATGTTCCTTGAAATAGAAATGTCAATAAAATTAAACATTGCGCTATGAACAAATCCAGGTTCCATAGTGTTAGGCTGCCCATAAACAAGACCATTAGCTACATGTCAATTTCTATTTAACAAATCATCCACATGACTGTCATTACCATGAAACAACTTCCTTTCCCCCTGATTTACACACATTTGAAAAGTAAGCTATCCGTTGCTTCTTTACCTTGCAGGTCGTACAGGGAATCTGCGGCCGTGGCCTTTTCGGAGGGCGCCTGGGTGATGGGTTTGAGGTAGGAACGGTAGCCCTTCAGGATGGAGGCCATGAAGCGAAGGAAGGCCTCCTGGATTTCCATCTCCAGGGACGTCTTCTTCTTGTGCCAGGTGAAGTCCGCCTCGATGGGGGTCATGTCCACTGCTGAGTTGTCCTGTGATGTTTGATGTACTGAAACTAAAATACAAAACAGATTTTAAGGTCAATTTGAATGGGATGGCAGTACACTGAAAATTATGCAAATGGCTGAATACCTTTAACTATATTTTGTCAGTTTCAGGGCACATAACATGGGCATACAATATGATGAAATGTAACACAATAGCAAGTATTTTTATAAAGATTCAGCTCTATAGTCATTTTTCACATCACAGTATGGAGGTGTATCATTCATTGGTAATTCTCTGAAGAGAGGTTTGCTACTAGAGGAGGGGAGATGCTGTTTGTACCAGTGGCCAGCTGGTGGTGCAAGTTGCTCAGTGAGTTAACGAGACTCTTGCAGGGCTTCTTTGGGAGGTTCTTCCAGTTGCTGTGTCTCTTTTCGTCAGACCTGTAACACACAATACCACAAAGGCAGTTAGCTGGAAGTAAGAGGAGAGCTGCACAAAAATAATCTGCTATGTGCTCTGGATTTAACAAATATGTTGGTGCAATATTTGTTGTTTTTGTGAGAGCTGTAAATATACAATATAAAGCGGGCAGTAACACAGGTTTAGTATCAAAGCACAGCATACAGGTAGATAGTGTTGGTGTCCAGATCCACGCAGACAACATCTGGCGGGGGGTCGTAAAGGTCAAAGTAGCGGGAGTCCACACCCACTATGAATGGACAAGGAGCGTTGAGGACACCTGCTAGAGAGAGCGGGCACAGGGGGATGTAGGGACACTGCCACTGGAAGGGGAAGATCATCTGACAAGAGACAAGAGAGATACGCATGATTACAACAACCAGCCTGACAATAATAAAATGTTTTACATGAGCTCCAGAGAATGTCTACGTCAGACTCCAGGATTCAATTTTAAAAGTAATGCATTATCAAATCAAATCAAGTTTATT